GCAGTTCAAATCCACCCAGAGGTGCCTCGGAAGAAAAACCCAGTGATTTCCTTCTGACAAATCACAGTCATTGGAAGCCATATGGAGCACAGTTCTTCTCTGATACACTTGAGGTCACCATGAGTTGGAGTTGATTCCACTGTATGGTAATCTCCCCCCCACCCCCGTAGGTAGTAATGCAATGGATTAAAACAAGAAAAGGTTCATTTTGGTTCACATCACAGATCTCCTGTGGGTCAGGAGGGGCATTGGCTTATGGTGTCACCTAGGCACCTAGGTTGACAGAGCAGCCCCTATCTCAAACAGCTATATAGAGGAAAGAAAGCCTGCTAAAGGTTGCATTGGCTCTTAAAACTTCCACCTGGTCCTGGCCCAGACAGTGTCACTGGAGAATTCTACCAAATGTTCAGAGAAGAACTGACACCAATTCTACTCAAACTATTCCAGAACATAGAAAAGGATGGAATCCTCCCTAACTCATTTTATGAAGCAAGCATAACTTTAATACCAAAATCAGGCAAAGACATCACTTAAAAAAAAACAAAACAAAACTATAGACCAATATCACTCATGAATATCCATCATATGAAGCAAAAATCTTCAACAAAATCCTAGTCAATAGATTCCAATAATACATTATGACCAAGTGGGGTTCATACCAGGTATGCAAGGATGGTTCAACATTAGAAAAACAATCAACATAATCCATCACATAATTAAAATAAAGAAAAAGAACCACATGATCATATCAGGTGATGCAGAAAAGGCATTTGATAAAATCCAACACCCATTCCTGATAAAAGCTCTCAGAAATATAGGAATAGAAGGGAAATTCCTCAACATAATAAAGGGCACACATGCAAAGCCAACAGCCAGCATTGTTTTCAATGGAGAGAGACTGAAACCATTCCCTTTGTGAGTGGGAACCAGACAAGGATGCCCTCTATCGCCATTAGTATTCAACATTGTGTTAGAAGTCCTAGCTAGGGCAATAAGGGAAGAAAGGGAAATCGAAGGCATCCAAATTGGTAATGAAGAGGTAAAACTATCCCTATTTGCAGATGATATGATCCTATACATAGAAAACCCAAGAGATTCAGCAAAAACACTACTGGAACTAATTGAGAAATTTAGCATAGTGGTGGGATACAAGAGCAACATACAAAAATCAGTTGGATTCCTCTACATCAGCAAAAAGATTGCTGAAAAAGAAATAAGGAAATCAATACCATTTACAATAGCTACCAAAAAAATAAAATACTTGGGAATAAATCTTTTCAGGGACACAAAAGACCTGTACAAAGAAAACTACAAAATACTACTTCAAGAAACCATAATAGATCTACATAAATGGAAGAACACACCATGCTTATGGATAGGAAGGTTGAACATTATGAAAATAATACTACTCAAAGCAATCTATACATGCAATGCAATCCCAATCCAGATCCCATCAACATTATTTAAGGATATGGAAAAAACAATCACTAATTTTATATGGAAAGGAAAGAGACCTCAGATAAGCAAAGCACTATTGAAGAAGAACAAAGTAGGAAGTCTCACACTCCCAGATCTCAAAACCTACTATGTTAGACTGGGTTCTCTAGAGAAAGAAAACCAGCAAAACTTATGTATATATATATATATAGAAAGAAATTTATCTTAGGAAAATGGCTCATACACTTATAGAAGCTGGCAAGTCCAAAGTTCTTGGATCAAATGTCAAGCTGGAGGCTTTTCCCGACTCTTGCAGCTTCAGGGGCTGAGGAGCTCAAGGTTGGCAGGTAGTATACTGGCTGTTGACTCCAACGAATGACGAATCCAAGATCTCCAGGCCGAATGGTGGATTGTTTGCTCATGGACAGTTGAAGGCAGCACAACAGAATCCTGATCCACAGAAGAGTGTCTTTTTTCCCAGGATGTCCATAAATATACTGGAAGCAGGCCATACCCCTAGGGAAAGTCCCTTTCAACAGATTGGCTGCTCAAAACATATTCATCTGATCCCATTATGGGAATGCCCACATCACAACTGCTTAAACCACCCAGAATTGTGGTCCAGCCAAGTTGACACATAGCTCTAACTATCACACCTACTATACAGCTACAGTAGTCAAAGCAGCCTGGTATTGGTACAATGACAGGCACATAGACCAGGGGAATATAATTGAGAACCCAGAAATAAATCCATTGACCTATGGTCAGCTGGTTTTTGACAAAGGGCTGAAATCCCTTAAACGGGGAAGAGATTATCTCTTTAACCAATAGTGCCGGCAAAACTGGTTATCCATTTGCAGGAAAATGAAACAAGATCCATACCTCCCATCATACACAAAAACTAACTCCGAGCTCCTAGGGGTCCTAATATATGGCATAAATAGACTATCAAGCATAACCCAAAATGCACAAACAGCAGAAGATAAACTAGATGAATGGGACCTTCTAAAATTTAAATTTTTGTGTGCTTCAAAAGATTTCTTCAAAAGGGTAAAAAGAGAACCTACAGATGGGGAAGAAATATTTGGTAATGACATGTCTGACAAGGGACTTATCTCTAAAATGTATAGAAAACTCCAACACCTCAACAACAAGAAGACAAACAGTCCAATTTAACAATGGCCAGAAGACACAAATAGACATTTCACCAAAGAGGATATCCAGGAGGCCAACAAACACATGAAGAAATGTTCATGATCATTAGCCATTAGAGAGATGGAAATCAAAATAACAATGAGATACCATCTTGCCCCAGCACTAATAGCAAAGTTCAACAAGACAGAAAATAACAAATGCTGACAAGGATGTGGAGGTATTGGGACTCTCATACACTGCTGGTCAGACTGTCAAATGGTATGACCACTGTGGAAAGCAGTATGGGAATTCCTTAAAAGTTGGATTGAGAAATACCATTTGATCGAGCAATGCCATTACTAGATATATATGGTAAAGAAGTGAGAGGCAGGACAAGAGCAGATACTTGCACACCTATGTTCATTGAAGCACTATTTACAATAGCAAAAATATGGAAACAAGCTGGGTGCCCATCAACAGAAGAGTGGATAACCAAACTATGGTACTTACCCACAAAGGAATACTATGCAACACTGAAGACTAATGTAGTATCTGCAAAACACATAACATGGATGAACTTGGAGGACATTATGCTGAGCGAAATAAGTCAATCACAAAAGGACAAATATTGTATTAGTTCATTATTGTAAAGAGTCAAAGAAAGGTTTATATATGGAAGGAAACTTTCTTTGTTGGTTACCAAGGGTGGGAGGGGAGGGGAGGGAACAACAACAACAACAACAACAACAACAAAATGGCTGACCCCTAACAATATGTACAAATACATAAAATGTAAAAAAAATATATACCAAAAAAAAAAAAAAACCATCAAAAAACCTTCCACCTGGAAGTGATACATATCACTTGTATGCACATTTCATTGGCCAAAGCAAATGGGTGGGGAAATTCAATCCTACCAAGTGCCTGAAAGGAGACAAAGCCAGAATATGTGTCAACATCCCTAATGCCCACCACACTTAAGATAATTCATTTCTCTTTTGTAGCAATCTGAGTAGGTGGAGCAGGCTGGCATGACATCAACACAACGTAAGGGTCTCAGGTTCCTTCCTTCTGTTTGTTCTGTCATCTCCAGGATGTTGCCCTCATCTTCACGGAGGAAGCTGGATCACCATCAGGTTTAAGTTCTAGTCCATGGGAAGGGCAGGATATGCTGTGTTTTAAGGGCATAACTTGGAAGTGAACATTAGTTCCACTCTCATCCCATTGGCCAGAACCAAGTCGTCTGGCCACACTTAACTGAGTGATTGTACAAGAAAGGAGAACAGGTACCAGGGGGAAGATGGCATTAGCAGTTTTATTACAGCAGGAGGCTGGAGACCCCCAATGCCAGAGGTGTCACCATCTTATACAAGGATACTCAGTCTTGTACGAGGTGAGTCTGATTTTATGTGCATGTGTTTATAAGAAGTTATTTGTAAATCAAAAAAGTTTTCATGAACTTAAATCATCACTTCAGAGATGTTGCAGCTTAATTTTGATTGATCTTATTTATTTATACCTTACATTGTTCCAAAAAATATTAAAGAGATTTCCATTGGGTGGGAAGGTTGACATTCTAGCTTCAAGTTTCAAGTTTCTTTATTTCCTGTCCTTCAAAGAAATGCAGGTTGTAATTTAAAAGCACACTCCCAAATTCCAAAAGACTGATTTTTTTTATTATAGTAAATGTATATGTAATAAAACATTAGCCATTTCAACAGTCTTCACATGTGCACTTCAGTGACATTTATTATATTCATCATGTTGTTCAAACATCACCCTTATGCATTTCCAAATTTTCCATCCTAAAATACTTTTATAATGAGAATAACCAACCCCAAATTGATTTCTTTTGTAAGCTGGGAATTTTATCTGCTGAACTTTCATAAAAATGTTCTAAACATTTTTCCAGTCTCATTTTTACAGTAGATCCTTCCTAGGGGAGGGCTACAGGGAGGAAAAGATTGTGACTCCTATTTTTCAAGAACTTCTAAGAAAATTAGTCTCAGTTCCTTATGTTCAAGAAGACAGCACTGTCCCGGGCATTCAGGAAGTAAAATCCACTTGGCAAAACCCAAAAGAAAACTGAAACTTTACTTAAACAAAATGTTTTGCAATATCTTGGATTTTTTTTTTGTGTGTGTGTGTGTGTGCTTTAGACTGTTAATGGGAGTGTGTGTGTGTGTGTGTGTGTGTGTAGGTTGGGAGCAATACACAAAAGCTGTGGTGGAGATCAACTGACTCTATGGTTATATTGGATTAAGGGGACAGGGCAAAGGTTTTGCCTTCTGAACCCTGATTATTTTTTCCCTAACAAGAGAACTTCCCCCTCACCACTCCCTATTTTCTCTCCTGGCAGCAAATAGAGTGACTGCTGAGCCAGCTCCAGTGTTTTCGGGAAGTCAGATGCCCTTTCCCTTCCTGGCTGTCTGTCTCTCCCTGCCCCACGGTGGACACCATGAACCTTCTGGTCGCTCTCCTTTGCCTGATGCCCCTGTACCCAGGTAGGAGGCAGGGGAGGGGTGGTGTTGGGGTCCTGCAGGCAAGGCCAATGCTACTCACATGTTGAGTTCCCACAAGTGAACCACAAGTGAAACAGACAATCTCTTTTCTTTTCCTTTTCTCATCAGTACCTTTTTTCTTTCCCTCATCTCTGTCTCTGTGTCCCCATGATCACAGGTCTGGCTGCAGCCACTCCGTCCTGCCCTCAGAATGTGAATATCTCTGGAGGAACTTTCACCCTCAGTCACGGCTGGGCTCCGGGGAGCCTTCTCACCTACTCCTGTCCTCTGGGCTATTACCCATCCCCTGCATCGAGGTTGTGCAAGAGCAACGGACAGTGGCAGACCCCTCGAGCCACCCGACTGACAAAGGCAGTCTGCAAACGTGAGGCTCCCTTGGACCTTGTTCAGGGCTCCCCACCAGTAGCCACTCCAGAACATCTGTTAGAGAGTTGGAGAATGGTCTCTAGCTTATAGCACACTTATAGAAGGCTTGACCTGGTTAGAAGGGGTGGCAGAGATGGCAAAGCTGCTTTTGCAGAGGGCTTTTCAAAACACATGGTCCCTAGGTGGTAAAATTGGTTTGTGATAGGCTGCTAACTTAAAAGTTGGTGTTTCAAATCCATCCAGGGATGCTGCAGAAGAAAGGCCTGGCAATCCGCATCCATAAAGATTACAACGAAGAAAACCCTATAGAGCAGTTTTACCCTGTAACACATGGGGTCTCCATGAGTCAGAACTGACTTGATGGCAACTTTTTCTTTTTTCCTCCAAAATATTCAGAATTGTCAATTGTCCATAGCATGGAATTGGTGGCTGGCTCTGATGCAGAGTGTGAGGAGCTAAAATCAGGGATAATTTTTAAAAGACAGTAATGCATCATTTAAAGTCCATGATACATTCTGTGAAATAGAATGGTGTTCTGGTTACCTAGTGCCACTCTGACAAGAATATACCACCAATGGGATGCTTGAACAAACAGGAGTTTATTCTCTTACAGTTTGGAGGCTTTAAGTCCAAGTTCAAAGTGCCAGGCTCTAAGGGGTAGGTGAAAGCCCCTCAACCTTGGGCTTCAGCTTTGCTTCCTGCTCCTGGCCCACTGAGGCTGGAGGCTTTTCTTCACTCAGCTGTTAGCTGCTGGCTGCTGATGCTGACAAACCCAAGGTTGACAAGTAACAAGGCACAGTCCTGATGATACCAAACCACACGGCAGGCCATTAATTCAAGTCCACTGAAAGTGCCAAAGTTGGCAGAGCATGGTAGGCTGCTGAACGACGACTCGGCTACATGCAGGGTTGAAGTGTGCTATAAGCTAGAGACCATTCTCCAAGGCTTCTCCTTATATGCAGGAAGCATACCACATCCCTAAGGCAGTTACTTAGCTGCTCCCAGTAGATTCCACCATGGAGTTGATTACCGGTCTCATCATGGGGAATACTACATCCAGCTGCCCAGCCACTCAACCAGGCCCAGCCAAGTTGACACACTAAGTGAAGTACCACAAATAGTATGTGATCTGAACACTGTACAAACACCATTTTATACAGGCAGTCACTGGATTATGAGTTCCACTCCTAAGTCTTTCAGCTGAATTTGTATGTAAGTTGAAACAGTTAGGTACAGTTTGTAATTAACATCAGTTAGTCCAATGTTTGTCTTTGTACATGCAGTTTTAGTATATGTACCTTCCTATGCATAAAAAACATTAAAGAAACACTTCTAGATATACTAGACTTCTTTAACATAATAATACAGCGATAATAGTAGTAATGTTTTTTTCTTAATTAATTAATT